CACCACCAGTCACCACCAGTCACTACTAGTCACTACTAGTCACTACTAGTCACCACCAGTCACTAGTCACTACTAGTCACTACCAGTCACTACCAGTCACTACTAGTCACCACTAGTCACTACTAGTCACCACCAGTCACTAGTCACCACTAGTCACTACTGGTCACTACTAGTCACCACCAGTCACTACCAGTCACTTCTAGTCACTACCAGTCACTACTAGTCACTACTAGTCACCACTAGTCACTACTAGTCACCACCAGTCACTAGTCACTACTAGTCACTACCAGTCACTACTAGTCACCACTAGTCACTACTAGTCACCACCAGTCACTAGTCACCACTAGTCACTACTGGTCACTACTAGTCACCACCAGTCACTACCAGTCACCACTAGTCACTAGTCACTACTAGTCACCACCAGTCCTTAGTCACTACTAGTCACTACTGGTCACTACTAGTCACTACTAGTCACTACCAGTCACTACTAGTCACTACTAGTCACTACCAGTCACTACTAGTCACTACCAGTAACCACTAGTCACTACCAGTCACTACCAGTCACTACTAGTCACTACTAGTCACTACCAGTCACCACTAGTCACTACCAGTCACTACCAGTCACTACTAGTCACCACCAGTCACTACTAGTCACCACTAGTCACTACCAGTCACTACTAGTCACTACCAGTCACTACCAGTCACTACTAGTCACAACCAGTCACTACTAGTCACTACCAGTCACTACCAGTCACTACTAGTCACCACCAGTCACTACTAGTCACTACCAGTCACTACCAGTCACTACCAGTCACCACCAGTCACTACTAGTCACTACCAGTCACTACAAGGCACTACTAGTCACTACTAGTCACTACTAGTCACTAGTCACTACCAGTCACTACTAGTCACTACTAGTCACTACTAGTCACTAGTCACTACCAGTCACTACTTGTCACTACTAGTCACTACTAGTCACTAGTCACCACCAGTCACTACTAGTCACTACTAGTCACTACAAGTCACAACTAGTCACTACTAGTCACTAGTCACTACCAGTCACTACTAGTCACTACTAGTCACTACCAGTCACTAGTCACTACCAGTCACTTCTAGTCACTATTAGTGTTCACTACTAGTCACTACCAGTCACTACTAGTCACCACTAGTCACTACTAGTCTCTACTAGTCACTAGTCCCCACCTGTCACTAGTCACCACCAGTCACTACTAGTCACTACTAGTGTTCACTACTAGTCACTAGTCACTACTAGTCACCACCAGTCACTACTAGTCACTACTAGTCGCTACAAGTCACTACAAGTCACCACCAGTCACTAGTCACTACTAGTCACCACCAGTGACCACCAGTGACCACCAGTCACCACCAGTCACCACCAGTCACTACTAGTCACTACTAGTCACTACAAGTCACCACCAGTCACTAGTCACTACCAGTCACCACCAGTCACCACCAGTCACTACTAGTCACTACTAGTCACTACTAGTCACTACTAGTCACCACCAGTCACTACTAGTCACTACTAGTCACCACCAGTCACTACTAGTCACTACTAGTCACCACCAGTCACCACTAGTCACTACTAGTCACTACTAGTCACCACCAGTCACTACTAGTCACCACCAGTCACCACCAGTCACCACCAGTCACCACCAGTCACCACTAGTCACTACTAGTCACTACTAGTCACCACTAGTCACTACTAGTCACTACTAGTCACTACCAGTCACTACTAGTCACTAGTCACCACCAGTCACCACCAGTTACTACTAGTCACCACTAGTCACTACCAGTCACTACTAGTCACCACCAGTCACCACCAGTCACCACCAGTCACCACTAGTCACTACTAGTCACTACTAGTCACCACTAGTCACTACTAGTCACTACTAGTCACTACCAGTCACTAGTCACTACTAGTCACCACTAGTCACTACCAGTCACTACCAGTCACTACTAGTCACTACCAGTCACCATTAGTCACTACCAGTCACTACTAGTCACTACCAGTCACTACCAGTCACCACCAGTCACTACTAGTCACTACCAGTCACTACCAGTCACTACCAGTCACCACCAGTCACTTCTAGTCACTACCAGTCACTACCAGTCACTACTAGTCACTAGTCACTACTAGTCACCACTAGTCACTACCAGTCACTACCAGTCACTACTAGTCACTAGTCACTACAAGTCACCACCAGTCACTACTAGTCACCACCAGTCACTACTAGTCACTACCAGTCACTACCAGTCACCACCAGTCACTACTAGTCACTACCAGTCACTACCAGTCACTACAAGGCACTACTAGTCACTACTAGTCACTACTAGTCACTAGTCACTACCAGTCACTACTAGTCACTACTAGTCACTAGTCACTACCAGTCACTACTAGTCCTACTAGTCACTAGTCACTACTAGTCACTACTAGTCACTGCTAGTCACTAGTCACCACCAGTCACTACTAGTCACTACTTGTCACTACAAGTCACAACTAGTCACTACTAGTCACTACCAGTCACTACTAGTCACTACTAGTCACTACCAGTCACTAGTCACTACCAGTCACTTCTAGTCACTATTAGTGTTCACTACTAGTCACTACCAGTCACTACTAGTCACCACTAGTCACTACTAGTCTCTACTAGTCACTAGTCACCACCTGTCACTAGTCACCACCAGTCACCACCAGTCACTGCTAGTCACTACTAGTGTTCACTATTAGTCACTAGTCACTACTAGTCACCACCAGTCACTACTAGTCACTACTAGTCGCTACAAGTCACTACAAGTCACCACCAGTCACTAGTCACTACTAGTCACCACCAGTGACCACCAGTGACCACCAGTCACCACCAGTCACCACCAGTCACTACTAGTCACTACTAGTCACTACCAGTCACCACCAGTCACCACCAGTCACTACTAGTCAATACTAGTCAATACTAGTCACCACCAGTCACTACTAATCACTACTAGTCACCACCAGTCACTACTAGTCACTACTAGTCACCACCAGTCACCACTAGTCACTACTAGTCACTACTAGTCACCACCAGTCACTACTAGTCACCACCAGTCACCACCAGTCACCACCAGTCACCACTAGTCACTACTAGTCACTACTAGTCACCACTAGTCACTACTAGTCACTACTAGTCACTACCAGTCACTACTAGTCACTAGTCACCACCAGTCACCACCAGTTACTACTAGTCACCACTAGTCACTACCAGTCACTACTAGTCACTACTAGTCACCACCAGTCACCACCAGTCACCACTAGTCACTACTAGTCACTACTAGTCACTACCAGTCACTACTAGCCACTAGTCACTACTAGTCACTACTAGTCCCACCAGTCACTAGTCACCACCAGTCACTACTAGTCACTACCAGTCACTACTAGTCACTACTAGTCACTACCAGTCACTACTAGTCACTAGTCACCACCAGTCACTACCAGTCACTACGAGTCACTAGTCACTACTAGTCACTACTAGTCACCACCAGTCACTAGTCACCACCAGTCACCAACAGTCACTACTAGTCACTACCAGTCACTACTAGTCACTACTAGTCACTACCAGTCACTACTAGTCACTAGTCACCACCAGTCACCACCTGTCACCACCAGTCACTAGTCACCACCAGTCACTACTAGTCACTACTAGTCACAACTAGTGTTCACTACTAGTCACTACTAGTCACTATTAGTCACTATTAGTCACTACAAGTCACTACTAGTCACTACTAGTCACAACTAGTGTTCACTACTAGTCACTACAAGTCACCACCAGTCACTACTAGTCACTACTAGTCACTAGTCACTACTAGTCACTACTAGTCACTACTAGTCACAACTAGTGTTCACTACTAGTCACTACTAGTCACTACAAGTCACCACTAGTCACTACTAATCACTACTAGTCACTACTAGTCACTACTGGTCACTACTAGTCACTACTAGTCACTACCAGTCACCACTAGTCACCACCAGTCACCACCAGTCACTAGTCACTACTAGTCACTACTAGTCACTACCAGTCACTACTAGTCACTACCAGTCACTACTAGTCATCACCAGTCACCACTAGTCACCACCAGTCACCACCAGTCACTAGTCACCACTAGTCACTACTAGTCACTACTAGTCACTACCAGTCACTACTAGTCACTACTAGTCAATACTAGTCACCATTAGTCACTACTAGTCACCACTAGTCACCACCAGTCACTAGTCACTACTAGTCACTACTAGTCACCACCAGTCACTACTAGTCACTACTAGTCACTACTAGTCATCACCAGTCACCATTAGTCACCACCAGTCACCACCAGTCACTAGTCACCACTAGTCACTACTAGTCACTACTAGTCACCACTAGTCACTACCAGTCACTACTAGTCACCACCAGTCACTACCAGTCACTACTAGTCACTACTAGTCACCACTAGTCACTACTAGTCACCACCAGTCACTACCAGTCACTACCAGTCACTACTATTCACCACCAGTCACCACTAGTCACTACTAGTCACTACTAGTCACTACTAGTCACCACCAGTCACTAGTCACTACCAGTCACTACCAGTCACTAGTCACTACTAGTCACTACTAGTTTTCACCACCAGTCACTACTAGTCACTACTAGTCACTACCAGTCACTACTAGTCACCACCAGTCACTAGTCACCACCAGTCACTACCAGTCACTACCAGTCACTACTAGTCACTACTAGTCACCACAAGTCACCACTAGTCACTACTAGTCACCACCAGTCACTACAAGTCACTACTAGTCACCACTAGTCACCACTAGTCACTACTACTCACCACTAGTCACTACTAGTCACCACCAGTCACTACTAGTCACTACCAGTCACCACTAGTCACAACTAGTCACTACTAGTCACCACCAGTTTTGCGTGTGGTTTGACTCCACGTCACCCACCACTGTCCCTGCCTGTGCTCAGGTCCATGCACGGACGCCTCGTCCGGCAGACCTTCACTTTCGAGCGGCCATTCCAGCCACACCTGAAGGACTCCTTCGTGCTGGTGAGATGTTGACTACCTCGCCTGGTACACAGGAGGTCGTGGGTGAGATGTTGACTACCTCGCCTGGTACACAGGAGGTCGTGCTGGTGAGATGTTGACTACCTCGCCTGGTACACAGGAGGTGTCGTGGGTGAGATGTTGACTACCTCGCCTGGTACACAGGAGGTCGTGGGTGAGATGTTGACTACCTCGCCTGGTACACAGGAGGTCGTGGGTGAGATGTTGACTACCTCGCCTGGTACACAGGAGGTCGTGCTGGTGAGATGTTGACTACCTCGCCTGGTACACAGGAGGTCGTGCTGGTGAGATGTTGACTACCTCGCCTGGTACACAGGAGGTGTCGTGGGTGAGATGTTGACTACCTCGCCAGGTACACAGGAGGTCGTGCTGGTGAGATGTTGACTACCTCGCCAGGTACACAGGAGGTCGTGGGTGAGATGTTGACTACCTCGCCTGGTACACAGGAGGTCGTGGGTGAGATGTTGACTACCTCGCCTGGTACACAGGAGGTCGTGCTGGTGAGATGTTGACCACCTCGCCTGGTACACAGGAGGTCGTGCTGGTGAGATGTTGACTACCTCGCCTGGTACACAGGAGGTCGTGGGTGAGATGTTGACTACCTCGCCTGGTGCACAGGAGGTCGTGGGTGAGATTTTGACTACCTCGCCAGGTACACAGGAGGTGTCGTGGGTGAGATGTTGATTACCTCGCCTGGTACACAGGAGGTCGTGCTGGTGAGATGTTGACTACCTCGCCTGGTACACAGGAGGTCGTGGGTAAGATGTTGACTACCTCGCCTGGTACACAGGAGGTCGTGGGTGAGATGTTGACTACCTCGCTTGGTACACAGGAGGTGTCGTGGGTAAGATGTTGACTACCTCGCCTGGTACACAGGAGGTCGTGCTGGTGAGATGTTGACTACCTCGCCTGGTACACAGGGGGTCGTGGGTGAGATGTTGACTACCTCGCCTGGTACACAGGAGGTCGTGCTGGTGAGATGTTGACTACCTCGCCTGGTACACAGGAGGTCGTGCTGGTGAGATGTTGACTACCTCGCCTGGTACACAGGAGGTCGTGGGATCGATAATCTGAGATGTTGACTACCTCGCCTGGTGCACAGGAAGTCGTGGGTGAGATGTTGACTACCTCGCCAGGTACACAGGAGGTGTCGTGGGTGAGATGTTGATTACCTCGCCTGGTACACAGGAGGTCGTGCTGGTGAGATGTTGACTACCTCGCCTGGTACACAGGAGGTCGTGGGTAAGATGTTGACTACCTCGCCTGGTACACAGGAGGTCGTGGGTAAGATGTTGACTACCTCGCCTGGTACACAGGAGGTCGTGGGTGAGATGTTGACTACCTCGCTTGGTACACAGGAGGTGTCGTGGGTAAGATGTTGACTACCTCGCCTGGTACACAGGAGGTCGTGCTGGTGAGATGTTGACTACCTCGCCTGGTACACAGGGGGTCGTGGGTGAGATGTTGACTACCTCGCCTGGTACACAGGAGGTCGTGGGTGAGATGTTGACTACCTCGCCTGGTACACAGGAGGTCGTGCTGGTGAGATGTTGACTACCTCGCCTGGTACACAGGAGGTCGTGGGTGAGATGTTGACTACCTCGCCTGGTACACAGGAGGTCGTGCTGGTGAGATGTTGACTACCTCGCCTGGTACACAGGAGGTCGTGCTGGTGAGATGTTGACTACCTCGCCTGGTACACAGGAGGTCGTGGGTGAGATGTTGACTACCTCGCCTGGTACGCAGGAGGTCGTGGGTGAGATGTTGACTACCTCGCCTGGTACACAGGAGGTCGTGCTGGTGAGATGTTGACTACCTCGCCTGGTACACAGGAGGTCGTGCTGGTGAGATGTTGACTACCTCGCCAGGTGCACAGGAAGTCGTGGGGGAGATTTTGACCACCTCGCCTGGTACACAGGAGGTCGTGGGTGAGATGTTGACTACCTCGCCTGGTACACAGGAGGTCGTGGGTGAGATGTTGACTACCTCGCCAGGTACACAGGAGGTCGTGGGTGAGATGTTGACTACCTCGCCTGGTGTGCAGGAGGTCGTGGGTGAGATGTTGACTACCTCGCCTGGTACACAGGAGGTCGTGCTGGTGAGATGTTGACCACCTCACCTGGTACACAGGAGGTCGTGCTGGTGAGATGTTGACTACCTCGCCTGGTACACAGGAGGTCGTGGGTGAGATGTTGACCACACAGGAGGTGTCGTGGGTGAGATGTTGACTACCTCGCCTGGTACACAGGAGGTCGTGGGTGAGATGTTGACTACCTCGCCTGGTACACAGGAGGTCGTGGGTGAGATGTTGACCACCTCGCCTGGTACACAGGAGGTCGTGGGTGAGATGTTGACTACCTCGCCTGGTACACAGGAGGTCGTGGGTGAGATGTTGACTACCTCGCGTGGTACACAGGAGGTCGTGGGTGAGATGTTGACTACCTCGCCAGGTACACAGGAGGTCGTGGGTGAGATGTTGACTACCTCGCCTGGTACACAGGAGGTCGTGGGTGAGATGTTGACCACACAGGAGGTGTCGTGGGTGAGATGTTGACTACCTCGCCTGGTACACAGGAGGTCGTGGGTGAGATGTTGACTACCTCGCCTGGTACACAGGAGGTCGTGGGTGAGATGTTGACCACCTCGCCTGGTACACAGGAGGTCGTGGGTGAGATGTTGACTACCTCGCCTGGTTCACAGGAGGTCGTGCTGGTGAGATGTTGACTACCTCGCCTGGTACACAGGAGGTCGTGGGTGAGATGTTGACTACCTCGCCTGGTGTGCAGGAGGTTGTGGGTTCGATCCCAAACGCTAACGATGTCTGATTGAGTGGATAAAATGTTGACTCACATGTTTACATAGAGACCCACACACTCACACAGAGACCCACAGACTCACACAGAGACCCACAGACTCACATAGAGACCCACAGACTCACACAGAGACCCACAGACTCACACAGAGACCCACAGACTCACATAGAGACCCACAGACTCACAGAGAGATGCACAGACTCACACAGAGACCCACAGACTCACACAGAGAACCACAGACTCACCACACAGAGACCCACAGACTCACATAGAGACCCACAGACTCGCACAGAGACCCACAGACTCACAGAGAGACGCACAGACTCACACAGAGAACCACAGACTCACATAGAGACTCACAGACTCACATAGAGACCCACAGACTCACAGAGAGACCTCCAGACTCACACAGAGACCCACAGACTCACATAGAGATCCACAGACTCCCACAGAGACCCACAGACTCACAAAGAGACCCACCAAGACCCACAGACTCACACAGAAACCCACAGACTAGCATAGAGACCCACAGACTCACACAGAGACCCACAGACTCACACAGAGACCCACAGACTCACATAGAGACCCACAGACTCACGCAGAGACCCACAGACTCACACAGAGACCCACAGACCCACATAGAGACCCACAGACTCACACAGAGACCCACAGACTCACACAGAGACCCACAGACTCACACACAGACTGCCACTACGTCGCTTTTGCCAGGCTATGTGCACCTTGAGGCCACGTGAAGTGTCGAACGCCCGCTGGCAGGAGGTCACGGGGCAGACCCAGGTGCCACGGGTCGACTGACTGAGATGACCGAAATGACTGGCTGATGCACCACCACCTCCATCACCACCTCCACCACCACTACTACCACCACCACCACTACCACAACTACCAACACCACCACTATCACCACCACCACTACCACCACTACTACCACCATCACTACCACCACCACCACCTCCACCACCACCTCCACCACCACCACCACTACTACCACCACAACTACCAACACCACCACTATCACCACCACCACTACTACCACCACCACCACTACCACCACTACCACCACCACCACTACCACCACTACCACCACTACCACTACCTCCACCACTGCCACCACCACAACCATCACTACCACCACCACTACTACCACTGCCACCACTACGACTACCAGCACTACCACCACTACCACCACTACCACCATCACCAATACCATCACCACTACCACCACTACCACCACTACCACTACAACCACTACCACCACTACCACTACCAGCACTACCACGACCACCACCATCACCACTACCATCACCACTACCACCATGATGGTGATGGTTATAGTGGTTGTTGTGGTGGTGGTTGTGATCGTGGTGGTGGTGGTTGTGGTTGTTGTGGTGGTGGTTGTGATCGTGGTGGTGATGGTGGTGGTTGTGGTTGCTGTGGTGGTGGTTGTGATCGTGGTGGTGGTGGTTGTGGTTGTTGTGGTGGTGGTTGTGATCGTGGTGGTGGTTGTGGTTGTTGGGGTGATGGTTGTGATCGTGGTGGTGGTTGTGGTTGTTGTGGTGGTGGTTGTGATCGTGGTGGTGACGGCGGTGGTTGTGGTTGTTGTGGTGGTGGTTGTGATGGTGGTTGTGATCGTGGTGGTGGTTGTGGTTGTTGTGGTGGTGGTTGTGATCGTGGTGGTGGTGGTTGTGGTTGTTGTGGTGGTGGTGGTTGTGATCGTGGTCGTGGTGGTTGTGGTGGTGGTTGTGATCGTGGTGGTTGTGGTGGTGGTTGTTGTGGTGGTGGTTGTGGTTGTTGTGGTGGTGGTTGTGATGATGGTGGTGGTGGTGATGGTGGTGGTTGTTGTGGTGGTGGTGGTTGTGATGGTGATGGTTGTGGTGGTGGTGATGGTTGTGATCGTGGTGGTGATGGTGGTGGATGTGGTTGTTCTGGTGATGGTTGTGATCGTGGTGGTGTTTGTGGTTGTTGTGGTGGTTGTGATCGTGGTGGTGGTGGCGGTGGTTGTGGTTGTTGTGATGGTTGTTGTGATGGTGGTTGTGATCGTGGTGGTTGTGGTTGTTGTGGTGGTAGTTGTGATCGTGGTGGTGGTTGTGGTGGTGGTTGTTGTGGTGGTGATAGTGGTGGTGGTTGTGGTTGTTGTGGTGGTGGTTGTGATCGTGGTGGTGGTGGTTGTGGTTGTTGTGGTGGTGGCTGTGATCGTGGTGGTTGTGATCGTGATGGTGGTGGTTGTTGTGGTGGTGGTGGTGATCGTGATGGTGATGGTGGTGGTTGTGGTGGTGGTGGTGGTGATCGTGATGGTGGTGGCTGTGGTTGTTGTGGTGGTGGTGGTGGTGGTGATGGTGGTGGTTGTGGTTGTTGTGGTTGTGGTTGTGGTTGTTGTTGTGATGGTGGTTGTGGTTGTTGTGGTGTTGGTTGTTGTGATGGTGGTGGTGATGGTGATGGTGGTGTATGGTTGTGGTTGTTGTGGTGGCGGTGATGGTGGTTGTGGTTGTTGTGGTGGTGGTGGTGATGGTGGTGGTTGTTGTGATGGTGGTTGTGATGGTTGTGGTTGTTGTGGTGGTTGTGATTGTGATGGTTGTGGTTGTTGTGGTCGTGGTTGTGATGGTGGTGGTTGTTGTGGTGGTTGTGATAGTAATGGTTGTGGTTGTTGTGGTGGTGGTTGTGATGGTGGTGGTTGTTGTGGTGGTGGTGGTGATGGTGTTTGTGGTTGTTGTGGTGGTGGTGATGGTGGTGGTGGTTGTTGTGGTGGTGGTGGTTGTGGTTGTTGTGGTGGTTGTGATTGTGATGGTTGTGGTTGTTGTGGTGGTGGTGTTGATGGTGATGGTGGTGGTGGTTGTTGTGGTGGTGGTTGTTGTGGTGATGGTGGTTGTTGTTGTGATGGTGGTTGTTGTTGTGATGGTGGTGGTGATGGTGGTGGTGGTGTTGATGGTGATGGTGGTTGTGGTTGTTGTGGTGGTGATGGTGGTTGTGATCGTGGTGGTTGTTGTGGTTTTTGTTGTGGTTGTTGTTGTGGTTGTTGTGGTATTGATGGTGGTGGTTGTGGTTGTTGTTGTGGTTGTTGTGGTGGTGATGGTGGTGGTTGTGGTTGTTGTGGTTGTTGTGGTTGTTGTTGTGGTGGTGATGGTGGTGGTTGTTGTGGTTGTTGTTGTGGTGGTGATGGTGGTGGTGATGGTGGTGGTGATGGTGGTTGTGGTGGTGGTGTTGTGGTGGTGGTGGTTGTTGTGGTGGTGGTGTTGATGGTGGTGATGGTGGTGGTTGTTGTGGTGGTGGTGTTGATGGTGATGCTGGTGGTTGTTGTGGTGGTGGTGTTGTGGTGGTGGTTGTTGTGGTGGTGGTGTTGATGGTGATGGTGGTGGTGGTTGTTGTGGTGGTGTTGATGGTGGTGGTGGTTGTGGTTGTTGTGATGGTGATTGTGGTGGTTGTGGTTGTTGTGGTGGTGATGGTGGTGGTTGTTGTTGTGGTTGTTGTGGTGGTGATGGTGATTGTTGTTGTGGTGATGGTGGTTGTTGTGGTTGTTGTGGTGATGGTGGTTGTGGTTGTTGTTGTGGTGGTGGTTGTTGTTGTGGTGGTTGTGGTTGTTGTTGTGGTGATGGTTGTTGTGGTTGTTGTGGTTCTCTCTGTCCAGGCCTTCCTCAAGGACCCTGCGGTGACTTCCAGTCTCAGAGTGGTCCCACCCAGGGGGCCTTGGGTGGGACTGGGTGAGCATCACTCACCACTCACTCACCAATCACTCACCAATCACTCACCACTTACTCACCACTCACCACTCACTCACCAATCACTCACCAATCACTCACCACTTAGTCACCACTCACTCACCAATCACTCACCAATCACTCACCAATTACTCACCACTCACTCACCAATCACTCACCAATCACTCACCACTTACTCACCACTCACCAACCAATCACTCACCAATTACTCACCACTCACTCACCAATCACTCACCAATCACTCACCAATTACTCACCACTCACTCACCAATCACTCACCACTCACTCACCACTCACTCACTCACTCACCACTCACTCACCACTGACTCACCACTCACTCACCAATTACTCACCACTCACTCACCACTCACTCACCACTTACTCACCAATTACTCACCACTCACTCACCACTCACTCACCACTCACTCACTCACTAACTCACCACTCACTCACCAATTACTCACCAATCACTCACCACTCACCACTCACCACTCACTCACTCACTCACACACTCACTCCCAACTCACTCACCACTCACTCACTCACCACTCACTCACCACTCACTCCTCACTCACCACTCACTCACCAATCACTCACTCATCACTCACCAATCACTCACCACTCACTCATCACTCACTCACCACTCACTCACCACTCACTCACTCACCAATCACTCACCACTCACTCACCACTCACTCATCACTCACCACTCACTCATCACTCACTCACAACTCTCTCACCACTCACTCACCACTCACTCACTCACTCACCAATCACTCACCACTCACTCACCACTCACTCACCACTCACCACTCACTCACCACTCACTCACCACTCACCACTCACTCACCACTCACTCACTCACTCACCACTCACTCACCACTCACTCACTCACCACTCACCAATCACTCACCACTCACTCACCACTCACTCACCACTCACTTACTCACTCACCACTCACCAATCACTCACCACTCACTCACCACTCACCACTCACTCACCACTCACTCACCACTCACACTCACCACTCACTCACTCACCACTCACTCACTCACTAACTCACCACTCACTCACCACTCACTGACCAATTACCAATCACTCACCACTCACTCACTCACCACTCACTCACCACTCACACACTCACCACTCACACACTCACCACTCACTCACCACTCACTCACTCACCACTCACTCAATCACTCACTCACTCACTCACCAATCACTCACCACTCACTCACCACTCACTCATCACTCACCAATCACTCACCAATCACTCACCACTCACTCACTCATCACTCACTCACTCACCACTCACTCACCACTCACACACTCACCACTCACACACTCACCACTCACTCACTCACCACTCACTCACTCACTCACCACTCACTCAATCACTCACTCACTCACCAATCACTCACCACTCACTCACCACTCACTCATCACTCACCAATCACTCACCAATCACTCACCACTCACTCACCACTCACTCACTCACCACTCACTCACCACTCACTCACCACTCACTCACTCACCACGCACTTACCACTCACTCACCACTCACTCACTCACAACTTACTCACCAATCACTCACTCACCAATCACTCACCACTCACACTCACTCACCACTCACCACTCACTCACTCACCACTCACTCACCACTCACTCACTCACTCACCAATCACTCACCACTCACTCATCACTTACTCACTCACCACTCACTCACCACTCACTCACTGACTCACCACTCACTCACCACTCACTCACCACTCACACTCACTCACTCACCACTCACTCACCACTCACTCACCACTCACCACTCACTCACCACTCACTCACTCACCACTCACCACTCACTCACCACTCACTCACCACTCACCACTCACTCACCACTCACTCACTCACTCACCACTCACTCACCACTCACTCACTCACCACTCACTCACCACTCACTCACTCACCACTCACTCACCACTCACTCACCAATCACTCACCAATCACTCACTCACAACTCACTCACCACTCACACTCACCAATCACTCACCACTCACTCACCACTCACTCACTCACTCACCACTCACTCACCACTCACTCACACACCACTCACTCACCACTCACTCACCACTCACTCACTCACCACTCACTTCCACTCACACTCACCACTCCCACACACACTCACCACAGTCACTCACCACACACTCACCACACACACTCACCACACACACTCACCACACACACTCACCACACACACTCACCACATACACACCACACTCACCACACACACTCACCACATACACTCACCACACACACTCACCACACACACTCACCACACACACTCACCACATACACTCACCACACACACTCACCACACACACTCACCACACACACTCACCACACACACTCACCACACACACTCACCACACACACTCACCACACACACTCACCACATACACTCACCACACACACTCACCACACACACTCA